GGTCGTCCCGGCGCGGCGGGGTGCGGATAGGTGCGCGGGGGGCCGCGGAGGAGCCTCTCCCGCTTAGGTGTGAGCTGATTATTCAAATGGGCAGCCGAGGACCTGGGGATTGGAGGCTCGCCCGGCCGCTCCGTGCTATATCACTCGGGCACCCACGTCACTGCAGCACTTGTCCTCCTCTTCCTCCTCCTCCTCTTCTTCCTCCCTCCTCCCTCCTCCTCCTCCTCCTCCTCCTCCTCCTCCTCCGGCTCCTCCATCGCCTCCGGGCGACTCTTCACCGCGAAGCGCTGCGAAAACCCACCCAAGGAGTAGCAGCGATTAAAAAACCAGCGCCAGCGCCGCTCGACACCCCCCCCCCTTCCTCCCTCCCTCCTCTTCCTCCTCCTCCAGAGGCTCCGTCGGAGGGGAGGGAGGGCTCGGCGCTTTTTTTTCACCCGTTTTTTTTTTTTTTTGGGGGGGGGGTTGCTCTCTGTCGTCGTTTGTTGTGGCTGTTAAATTTTAAACTGCCATGCACTCCACTTCCAGTATGCTGGGAGCGGTGAAAATGGAAGGCCATGAGCACACGGACTGGAGCAACTACTACGGGGAGCCCGAGGTAAGCAAAGGGAGACCGGGAATTGAGGGGTTGGGAGGGGAGAGGTGTCCTGGGGTCCCCATCGCCGTGCCAGCCCCGGGACACGGTCAACTTCGGCACCGAGGGCTGAGCGGGGAGCGGGCAGGGAGCGGGCAGGGTGCGGGCAGGGCGCGGGCAGGGTGCGGGCTGCCGTTCGCTATTTCCCCCCTCCCGTTCCCCTTCCCTCTCCTCCAGGTATTTCTCTCGCTTCCCTTCCCCTCGCTCCCAGGACGGAGCCGCCGGTCTTGCGGCCACCCCGTCCCGGTTCTGTTTTGTTTTATTTAATATATATTTGCTTTTCATTAACAAGAAAAACACCCACCCCCCCCACCCCCCCGCACCCCCCCCACCCCCCCTCCGGGATTTAACCCTTCCTACCCCGCGGGGCACGGAGCCCCGGCGCTGCGGACGCTCTCACCGGCGGCGCTACCGGCTGGGCTGGGCTGGGCTGCGGGGTCCCCCCACGGCTCCCCGCGTCCCCGGCGGGGCCACCCCGTCTTGTCCTCCCCCCCCCCCCCAAAATCTCCCTCCTCTCTTTTCGCTTGCCCCTGCAGAGTTATTCCTCGGTGAGCAACATGAACGCGGGGCTGGGCATGAACAGCATGAACACGTACATGACCATGTCGGCCATGAGCACCACGGCCAACATGACGGCCGCCACCTCTATGAACATGTCCTACGCTAACACGGGCATGAGCCCCTCGCTCACCGGCATGTCCCCGGGCACGGGGGCCATGCCTGGCATGGGCTCAGCCGGTGTGGCAGGGATGGGCACTCACCTGAGCCCCAGCATGAGCCCTATGGGTGGCCAAGCGGGTTCCATGAACGCCCTGGCCCCCTACACCAACATGAACTCCATGAGCCCCATCTACGGGCAGTCCAACCTCAACCGCTCGCGGGACCCCAAGACCTACCGGCGCAGCTACACGCACGCCAAGCCACCCTACTCCTACATCTCCCTCATCACCATGGCCATCCAGCAGTCACCCAACAAGATGCTGACGCTGAGCGAGATCTACCAGTGGATCATGGACCTCTTCCCCTTCTACCGCCAGAACCAGCAGCGCTGGCAGAACAGCATCCGCCACTCGCTGTCCTTCAACGACTGCTTCCTCAAGGTGCCCCGCTCCCCGGACAAGCCGGGAAAAGGCTCCTTTTGGACGCTGCATCCCGATTCGGGCAACATGTTTGAGAACGGCTGCTACCTGCGCCGCCAGAAGCGCTTCAAGTGCGAGAAGCAGTTGGCCTCCAAGGACAGTGGTGGGGCGGGCGGTGGAGCGGGTGGTGGGGGCAAGAAGGGGCCCGGGCAGCCCCCGAGCCAGCCCCTAGGGGAAGGCAGCTCCTCGGGGGGCTCCGAAGGCTCTGCCGGTGCTGAGTCCCCGGCCAGCACCTCGCCGTGCCAGGACCACAAGCGAGCCCTGGCTGATTTGAAGGGGACACCAGGGCTGAGCCCCGGGGAGCCAGCATCCTCACCGGCCCAGCACCTCCTGGCTCCCCCGCACGCCGGCCTGCCCCATGACGCCCACCTCAAGCCCGAGCACCACTACGCCTTCAACCACCCCTTCTCCATCAACAACCTGATGTCCTCCTCCGAGCAGCAGCACCACCACCCTCACCACCACCACCACCACCACCACAAAATGGACCTGAAGGCCTACGAGCAGGTGATGCACTACTCGGGCTACGCCTCGCCCATGCCCGGCAGCCTGGCCATGGGGCCCGTAACGAACAAAAACGCCTTAGAGTCCTCCCCTTTAGCCGGAGAGACTTCTTACTACCAAGGTGTGTATTCCCGGCCCATCATGAACTCCTCCTAAAAGGGGTGAGGGGAAAACCCACCTCCCCATCGAGGGGGGCAGCCCCCGGTACCCCCATGCAGCCCCTGGCAGAGCAGTGGACTATGAACGCTCTCGAGCACGGTACATATACATATATATATATCTATATATATTTTCTTTTTATTTCCTTTTCCGTTGGCTCCAGATGTTTGCATCCATTCGGGAAACAGCAGCCGTGTGTCCCGCAAGCATCTCGGGGGTCACCCCCCAAAGCCACCTGTGCTGGGGTTGGGCTGCAATTCCCTTGTTTTCCCTTGGTTTTGGTGGGGAGGGACGGGTTGGGGGCGAAGGGATGGGGAAAAGGGGGTTCTATTGGGCTTACTTTATTACTTTTCGTTGTCGTCGTCGGAAGGAGGTATAAATATATCTATTTTTTTGTGTGGAAGTGACGGGGAAGAAAAAAACCACAACGAAACACAAGCAAAACGAAACCCTCCTTCAGTGTGAAACCCATGCTAGTTTGGAATCCCAGGACCAAAAGTCTTGTAATATTGTAAAAAAGGGGGAAAAGAGGGGTAAAAAAAAAAAAAAAAAGAGAAAAGAAAAAAAAGAGAAAAAAATTGTGAAAAATTATAATAATAATAAAAAAAGTCAGGATAGATCGTTGTAATTGAAACAAACGCTTGATGTTACCGGGAGAGTAAACTACTTGGATCTGATTAATTTATCGTTTCTGTACGCTTTATTTATGGCTTATAAATGTGTATTCTGGTAGCGACTAGCCAGATTTTCACAGAACTCTATTAAAGTGTTATTGGCGGTTTTTTTCCCCCTGCATCTCTGTTCCGCCGGGATTCGCCCGCTTCTTCCTCCTTCTCCTCCTCGGCCGGGCCGGGGTCCCACCGCCGCTCCGACGGTGTGGTGCCGTCCCACTCCACTCCCGACGGGTCCCCCCGGAGCAGCTCAACACGGGGAAGGGACGAGGAGGGGTCGGGGAGCCGCTGCCCCTAGCAAAGAGCCCCTCTGCTCGGGGGGGACACCCCGTCGGGGCAGCTCCTCACCCCTGCGAGCGGTGGGAATTGGGGGGACCCCTGGAACCTCGCGAAACCGGCGTCGGCAAACCGGGATGCTCTTTGTGTCTCCTTCCCCTCCCGCTTCTCCCGGCCGCCCCATAGACACCCCCGGGTTATTTTCCGTGTCTTTGCCCCCTCCCCGCTGCAATCTCCAGCCCGTCCTCCCAACCACTTGTTGTTTTCCCACGCGTTTACGGCGCTCGTAGACGTTGCTTTGCGAAATAACATTCAAATCCTTCTTAAAATTCCGCATTGTCCGCGGGAAGAGAAAAGGGGAGGAAAAAAAAAAAAAAGGGGGGGTGGGAAAGGGGGTGGGGGTGGAAAAAAAAACCTTCCCCCAAAAAAAACAAAACAGGGATCCAGGCAGAAATCTGTCCGTCTCTATACGGGAAGGACACACACGTTGTGAACCAAGGCATGCAATGTGTTTCATTAGCACATAAAAGGCTCCCGCAGGGAAGAGCACGGGCGCGGGGGTGCCGCCGGTTGGGGCTCCGCGCCCCGCCGGTACCGGCCTCGGGATGCTCCACAAGCCGCTTTCCCTCAGTTCCCTTTATTTTTCCTTCCTTTTCCCCGTTTCCTCTGGCCTGTTTCGGGCTGAAACGCAACGAGGAGGACTTGGGGCAGACGGGGAATAAAAGGAAATAGGCTCACTAGGAGCGTTATTCCTCCTTCTCCCCAGCCCCTTCTCGGTGTATTCCCCCCTCCTCGCCCACCCCCCAGCCCCGTTGCAACCGCTTCTGCTCCTCCGGTTTAAGAGACCGTGATCTGTGAATAAACAAAGTCAGTAAACAAAAAAGAAAAGGGGGGGGGGGGCAAAGAAAGAAAAAGGGGGGGGGGGGAATCTAGATCCAAATTCCAGGAGGGTAAACTTTCAACACCACGTCATACCTCAGCAAATTTACACAGATATTATATTGCGTCCCTTTCCTTCCTTCCCCCACCCCCCCGCGCTCCTTTCGAGCCATTGTGCTTAACTGAATTTTATAAAGCTGATCGATATCTTGGTAAAATATTCATTTTTAAACTAGCGGGCAGCGAAATCTTTGCTTTGTGCTAAAGTCAACACCAGCACAGTTTCGGCTCCCATAAATGCCGGGATGCTCCCGGCTCCCGCAGAGCCGGGCCGGCGGCCGGGGCGCAGGTAGGTGACGCCCGCCGTTCCTTCCCTTTCCTCTCCTTCGGGTCCATCCTCCTCCTCCTCCTCTTCCTCCTCCCCGGCTCGTTGGAGCGGCGGCACCGGATGGATCCTCCCAGCGGGTTTTGGGGGGCCCCATCCCCGCCGCCTTCCTTCTCCCGGCTGGTTTTTTTTTTGGGGGGGGGGAAGCGCGGACAGGGGAGACAAGGGGGGGTCTGGGGCTGTTTCTGCCCTGTTCAACACCAGATCTCGGTGCTGCGGGGTGGGAAACCTTGCGGCGGGGTCGGCGGCGGGTCGGAGACGTGCGAGCGGACACTTGCTTGGTTAATATTTATCTTTATTTAGTCATTATTGTTATTGTTATTATGAATTGTATTAATTTAATCACCACCACCCCCCCTCCTTCCACTTTTTCCCTCCGTGGCTCTCTGTGGTTCCGGGCTGGGAGTCACCACAGCCGTGTGATTCCTCCCTTGTCACCGGCCCAGAGCCGGCCCCGCGGGCCCGGCCCCGCTTCCTGGCAACAAAATACAGGGAAAACCCTAAACAGTTCCTCGATATAAGGAAAAACCCGGGAGTTTTGCCGGGATCCCATTCCCGGGGCTCTCCCGCTCCGCACCGGACACGGACACGAGTGACACGGCCCGGGGGGGGGGGAAGATGCGGGGCGGCGGATCCCGGGATGCTTCCCGCGGGGGGTGTATGGCCCGGGATGGGAGGTCCGGGGGCCGGTCTTAGTGAGGGCCGGAGCGGGTGGGTCTATATCCGTGCCCATGTCCGTGTCCCCGTCCCCGCTCAGCCGTGGCGGGTCACATCCCGCCGGCAAGAGCCGCTCGGCGACTAATGGGCTCTCAATAATTCATAACAGCCCGGCCGGCTCGTAATGCAGCTCTGCGCGCTCGCCAATTACTTGTCATTAAAGGCCTGTCGCCCCTGCAGGGAGGGGGACGAGAGTGGGATGAAGGGCCCTGTCTTGCGGCCACCTCGGAGCATCCCTCCGGGGGAAGCCGAACCACAGCCCCGTACCCCGCACCGGGGCCGGGCAGCGTCCCCCGCTCCCTGCAGGGGAATGGGGGGGTCACTGCTTTTTGCCCGCGACCTCCCTCTGTTTTCCCTCCTCTCCCTGTAGCCGAGTACCCCCAGCTCCTTTAGCACCCCCCGTCTCCGGGTCTCATTTCTCCCGTTAACAGCGGGGCTGAGCGCTCGGCTCCGTTTCGGTCGTTAATTGCCCCCAAATCCGCCTTTATTTTGCAGGGGGACCGAGGGGCAGCAGTGGCGTTGGTGAGGGCTGAGCTGGATTGGGCCGGGGAGGGGGGAACAGGTCTGAGCCCCCAGATGAGCCCCTATCCATCCTTCACTCATATATATTTATGCATATATATATATATGGGGTTCATTATTATTTTTCCTGACTTCCCATTCACCGAGAGGTGGGAAAAACATTTATTTAGTTGCTCGCCCCCCCAGTGTCATTCAGCGATGGCCATGGAAGCACAAAGGAGGTGGCACAGCTCGGGTGGGGAGCGTTAAGAAGGGCTCGCTGCCCGCTCCCAAACCTGCCCCCTCGGCGGGATAACCGCGGGATAAGTGCGGGATAACTCTCCGCTGCCTGCCCTGCCCATGGACTGTGGGCAGAAAGTGCGTTTATTGATGATCTTTTAAAACCCAACTCAACCCGGGACCGGACAACTCGGGGGTGAGATGAGTCTAATTATTGCTGGTTCTAAAAAGAGCTGGAACACCCAAGTAGGGCTTAACTCGTCTCCTGGGAAACTGATGGAGACCTATTTTACAAGCTGTAATTCTGCTTTAGACTATTGCAGGCTAAAGGCAGTTCACACTGTCCTCTTTCTTCTAGAAATAGTCCTAATCCTGTATTTCGGCCGGGTAAAGTCCGCTTCTGCTCCGCACTAGATTAATCCAGAAACCACATAAAACCAGGTAGGGAAGAGGGTGGAAAAGGGGAATACGAAAAAATAACCCCAAACCCATTCGGAGTTTGTTCCCTCTGCCCTGTCTAACCTTCAAAAGAGTAAATATTAAAGGATGATGCAGAATCTGACGGCTCCTTATTTACGGGGAGCTTCGTGGCCAGCGGAGCTAAACCCGGTCTGCGGGGCCGCTTTAGGGAGGAGAAAGATTTCGGGGTTCTTTTATTTCCTTCTCTCTCGTGGCGGTCGTTTTCCAGGCTCAGGAGAGCGAAATATTCCTCCTTTCCAGATGGAGCCTGGGCGGGGAGAGGGGAATTTGGTAGGTGGTTATTTTTATTGGGAAAAAAAAAAAAGAAAGCAAAGCAAAATAAATCAAAGCAAAACAAAAGCAAAAAAAAAAAAAGGTAAAACAAACTAAAGCGAATTAAAACAAGAACAAAAAGGGGAAATAAAGAGGAAGGAAAATAAAACCCAAACGAACTCGCTTGCAGCCACCTTCAGGCACCGCGATCCGTTTTCACCCCATTCACGGAGTGCTGGTGTCTAACGCTCCCCCCCACCCCGGTAACCCCGGGATTCGGCTCTAAACCACTGGGCAGGGTTGGTTTTTGCCGGTGGGATACAGACCCCCTCAAGCCCGAGCCCAGGGCAGGGGGAGATGCCCCAGAGGGTGCGAACGGGGTCCGAGGGATGGGAAACGCTGCATCGAGCCCGGGATGTTGTTTCGGGAGGGTCAAGGGATGGAGAAATGGAGGGATGCAGGGATGGATGGAGTGATAGAGGGATGCAGGGATAGATGCAGGGATGGGAGGATGCAGGTGTAGGTGTAGCGATGGGTGGAGGGAAGGTTGCAGGGACGGATGCAGGCATGAATGGAGAGGTGCAGGGACACATCAGTGGATGGAAGGATAGATGAAGGGATAGAGGGATAGAGGGATGGAAAGATAGAAGGATGGATGGAGGCACAGAGGGATGCAGGGATGGATGTAGGATGGGTGGATGGATGGATGGATGGATGGATGGATGGAGATGGATGGATGGAGATGGATGGATGGAAAGACGGACTGGGTCTGCCCCCCCCAGGCCGCAGGGCTCTGGGGAGCGTAGTTACGGGGGGTGTTGGCAGCGGCACGGGCAGCGCTAAGGAACGAAACGGGACATAAACGGGCCGGGAGGGCGGTGGGGAGCAGGGGCTGTGCTGCGGCGGGGGGGGGTGGGGGGGTGGTGGTGGTCTGTTTGCGGGGCAGCCGCGCGTGAAATTGTGTGTAAAAAAATCATAAAAAAGGAAAAAAAAAGAAAACTTCATAAAACCTGCACACGGCGACGAGGCAGCTGCGGAGGGGCGTGTGGGGGTGTGGGGATCGGTGGGGGGCGGCGGTGAAACGGGGCCGGAGGGGGGGATCCTGTCCCCCATTCCCGTGTCAAAAGGGGTTTGTGGTTGCACACGCGTGTGCAGGGCCACGTCCGTGCACCCCGCCACGGCCCCCGCGCTCTTTCGTTTCATTGCTCTGTCTTCCCTTTCCTTTCCCCCTTTCTTTCCTCTTTTCCCATTTCTCCATTTCTTTCCTTTCCCTTCCTTTTCTTTTCGTTTCTTTGCCTTTCTTTTTTTCTTTTTCCTTTCTTTCCTTTACATTTCTTCGCCCTTTCCCCCCCCCCATTCCTTTTCCTTACTTTGCCTTTCTTCCCCTTTTCAGTTTCTTTCCCCTTTCCCCTTTCTTTCAATTTCTTTCCTTTTCTTTCCATTTCTTTCGTTTTCCTCATCCTTTCCCCTATTTTTCTCCCTTTTTCGTTTATTCCCTTCCCCAGCTTTTTTTCTTTCGCCCCTCTTTCCCTTTATCCCCTTTCTTTTCCTTTCCCTTTCCCCCCTTTCTTTCAATTTCTTTCGCTTTTCCCTTCTTTCCCTTTCCCTACTTTTTTCTGTTTTCCCAGTTTCTTCCCCTTTTTTCTTTTATCCAATTTCTTTCCCTTTTCCCTTTATTTACCTTTTTCCCCATTCTTTTCTTTTTCTGTTTTTTTTTTTTTACTTTCCTCCCTTTTCTCCCATTCTTTCCTTTTCCAGTCCCTTCTTTCATTTCCCCCTTTCTGTCATTCTATTCTTTTCTTTCCCTTCCCCCTTTATTTCCTTCTCTTTCGCTTTTCCCGTTTTCCTTTTTTTTCAGTTTCTTTCTCTTTTCTCCCTTTCTTTCCTTTTTCCTCCCTTCTTTCATTCCCCCCTTTTCTTTCCCATTTTCCCGTTCTTTCCCTTTGCCCCCTCGATGCTCACACCTCACCCTCACATCCCACCTTTTCCCACTCTACCCTTTCCCATCTCCCAGAGCCCCTTTCCAGGGGAGAGGAGTCGTTTCCCTGGCCGGGCACAGCGCAGCCAGGTGAGGCAGCCCCGATGCCACTTGGATGGGCACCGGCGGAGCACCGCAGCAGCGGGTCCCTCCTCCTGGTCCCCGCTGGCCACGGGCTCCTTGTTTCAATAAACCAAGGGGCAGGAAAGCCCCTGACACATCGCTCGCTGCAGGTAACACGGATTTCTGCAGCAGGGAGAGCTCTACCTGCCCGAACTGCCTACCACCGATGCCAGCGTGTAAGGTGCTCTCCCTGTGGCTTCCTGCTGGTTTTGCCTCACACCAGCAGTAAAAAGAATGATCCTCATCTCTCCACGGCTGGAAAACAGCTGCAAACAGCACGGGGGAGCGGGAATGCGGTGATTTTACTTCCCACCCTGTATTGAACGCATCGAGATTGAAGGATTTTGGAGACCCTGAAATGTTTTGTGTGTCACTGTCAGCTGCGGGGCTTCACCATCTGCCTGCACTTACTCCCCCCCCCCATTTGTTGTGATAATGGCACAAGAAATCAGTGTCGGGGGGAGCTGGGGCAAACTTCTGGGCTCCCCCGAGCGTGCTGCTGCCGTGTACAGATCCCTTATTAAAGCCACAGATTCCCATCTCCGATTGCCTCTTTGTGTCTGTACTCGTGTGTGATACCTGTGTCATGCTCCAGCAATTCCTGATGGGAATGGGGAGAAGCATTATCCCAGCCTCAAAGGGGGCTCTGCTGGGATGGAGACTTTTAGGCTTCAAGGAAGTCAGTGGGGGGAAGCATAAATCATAAGAGCACCTTGAGAAAGTTGAGGAGTTAATGGATTTGTGGGGCTCTTTGGGGGATGCGCGTTGGTGCTGTGCTAAAAGAGAGCTCAGGAAGGGCTTTGGAAGGGAAAGCAGCCATAAAATACCCCCAAAACGATGATTAACCCCCTTCCTATGCCAAAGCTTTTTTACTATGCCCCACCATGGAGCTCCCCTCTGTTCCTCTGCACCCCTCATTGTACTCAATGTATTTCTATCCCAGGTGGCCTGCAAATGGGTGTCCCATGGGAAGGGATGGATGTACGGATGCGTGCTCCTGGTGCATCCCCTCTGAGCTGACAGCCTGGGAGATGGGGACACGAGGCCAACGGCCCCGGGTGGATGCAGTGGGACGGGGGCAGAAGGTGGGTTTAATTTCAGGAGGGGTTGCCAGGACTTTCTGTCACCCCTGGGCCCAATCTGAGGCATCATTTGCAAACTAATAAAATGGCTGCAGATGTTGAGCCGACAGCAGAGCATGTTCCTTGGGAGCATCCTGACAAACTCCGGCTTGGAAAGTCATCAGCGTGCCCTGGTTTTCCCTTTGTTTCATCTCCTCCCCAGTTGCTTCCCTCTTATCTGGATTTTTAGGGGGACAAGGAGGAAAAAAAGGCTGGAAAGGACCTTTTGCATAAGGAAAGGTAAAAATCTGATGCGTGACCTGGAGGAAAGCCCATATCCAACCCCACAGTGCATCTGCCAGAGCCAGGAGGTGTGGAGAGACACTCAAAGACATAAACCCCACAGGAGGCAGGTGCTTCCCTGGCTGTGGAGTACTTGAGGATATGAGGAGGAGGGATACATCAAGCAGGAATGGAGCTGGGTTTCAGCAGCATAAGAACCCTCTGTGACCAGGAGGGGGTTGTATCTGCTGAAGAACCTCTTAACCTTCTCTATATCCTGTTACTAAAGGGGAAAAAAGGAATCACGAGGAGTTCCTGCCTCTTCACCTAACCATAGAATAAGAGAGGATGCTATTCCCCAGCTCTCCAAGGTGGTGGGATCCATGAAACCAGATGAGCTTTGTTGTGGCCAAAAGCCAAGCATCAGCCAGGTCCTGGGAGAGGGGAGGAGGACGGATGGGTGAAAAGAGAAGACATCCAAGCTGTGGTGACAGGACAGGGCACTTGCTCCAGGCTGGTGAGGCTCTGGGTTATACGAGTGCAGGGCACGTGTTTTACCTGCTGGTTTCACCTGTGCTTGCTGATGCAGCTTGAAGAGATTTGGGAATGTTTTCCTTGTTCTGCGCTATGTCCTCAGCTCCCACATTCCCAAAGTGTTACTCCGGTTTCCACATTAACCCAGTTTAGTAGAGCTGATCCCCATCCAATGACAATGCTCTTCCCTCAGATGAAACGGGATATTTTGGGTGAGGGATGGCTTCTGCTGGGGCAAGCCAAGGGCAAGGCGTCTGTGTGTCAGCGGCTGATGTGCTAGGATGGCAGCTTGGTCTGCAGGCAGGGCAGGAGGAATGAGCAAGGGGCTGGGACACGGAAGGGTTTGGGGTGCAGCAGGGTTTAGGATGCGGCAGGGCTTTGGATGTGGAAGGGTTTAGGATGCAGTGCGGTTTGGGGTGCTGGAGGGTTTGGGGTTTCCGGGCTCCCTGGGGTTGCAGGGACCTGTCCCCTCTCCGCGGTCTCTGCCACATCCCTGTTCATCCTCTCCACCCTGCAAGGGGCCGGGAGCCTGGCTGGGCTCTGCCCTGAGGTCCTGCCTGCAGTGCGGATGCTCCGGGTTGTGCTCCCCTGGAGCCGGGCAGGGTCCAGCCATGGGTCCTGCTCCCGCAGGGAGCAAAGGCAGAGCCGACATATTTCCCCGAGTTACTTATTAACCACTGTTCATTTGACAGGATCAATATTTCAAGCGAGGGAGTAAACACTTAAGAAGCACCACTCTGCCCGGCTCTCCTTCCCTTGCAAAATGATTTATTCCCCAAAACGCATCTGCCTGGGAAGGAGGCAGCGCCCGGAGCCGGCGGCTTTTATCCGTGGGATATGCAAAGCACATTTATTTTGTCTTTTATCTCTCATATTGCATGTTGATCCCATACATATAGATTGATTTTGTTCAGGTAGATAATGAAAAGTCAAGTGGAAAATTTACACAAAGGCACTCAGGATCTCGACTTTCTATTGGTATATAAATTGGTTTATTACTTCATTCCCTTAAACAGGGACTTTCACACTGGGGAACCCTCGAAAATGTATCGTGTTTAAACACAAACCCATTTACCTTGCATGTGCTTCTGTTTTCCCCACCACTAATTTCCTCGCTACCTTGGTTAATTACCAAAGATATTTGTGTCCTTCTCCATCCCTCCAGCAATCCGTCTTCCTCTTCTCCTTCCTGACCCCCGAAAACTCCTGGTGGGAGGATTCCGAGCCTCCAGCCGACATGTTGAGCACCGGGGGCTGACAATACCTCGGGAGCTGTTCATAATTCCCTATAAGCAGCTTTCATTTCGCCACCCTCACCCGGCGTCAGGCGCCACGGCGGCGGTTAATAGAGGGCACTGGATGTGAGAGCACAGCTTGGAACAAAAAAACCCCCAAAAAACCTAAAGGAAACATTATTAATAAACATCTTCTGGCCATTTGGTGGCGGGTATAGGCTGCTCCAGCTTAAAGCAATTAATTCAGGATACTGACATAAACTCTCCAGCTCTTTGACAGCTTGGAGCTGAAATAAAAATGCTAGTTCTCCAGGGAAAAGGAGAGGATAGTTGGCTCTTTTCTGGACTGTTTGCTTATAGGCCCAGAGAGCAATCTTCCTCGCAGAATGAAATGCAAGGACACAAACAATGTACCAGGGAGAGAATAGGAGATGGGAATGAACAGTTTGAACTATTTGCTCAGCAGAAGGGCAGCCACAATGCTCGGCCAATGGCTTTCCCATGCATCAACCAGGCTTCTTAGCCCCTTTTGTTGTTCAGCCTCTTCCTCCAGCCAGATAAGAGCACAGCTGCGGCGGCGCGGCTAAGTCAGGCCTTTGACTTATTCACCCAAATCTCATCTCCCCTTTACTGTATGTCCTCCTGTGGGACACTCTCTTTGGTGCATCCCTTCTCCCATCAGGTCAGAGCGGGCTGGATGCGAAGCCAAGGCACCGGTGATGCGCATCTTGCCTTGCACGTGCCCCTTGCCATCACGCGCATGCAAGCACGTCTTTGGTCACAGCAAGCTGCCCCAGCTGCAGAAGCTCCGTGCTCTAAAGATAAAGGCTGCAGCCATCATGAGCTGGGGGTTCAGAGCTGCAACATGCAGCGTTTTCCATCCCTTGAAGGCTCTGAGTGGTTTACAAGCATGAGCACACCTCGTCCCCACAGTGCAGTGGTGGGAGCTACCTTCTACCACTTGGATATGGGCGACAGCAAGCCCTGACGGCAATACCCTTGCAGGGGCAGGTCCTCCCAGCCACCTCCACCCTTTCCCTTCCCTCCCTGCACCCCGTGTTGCCCCTGAAGATCGCCCTCCCTCCTCTAATCCACCCAGGCCACCACTTGCTTTGCTGTAACGCTGCCGAGCGGGACGATGCTGCAACTGAACCAAATCGGCAGCAAGGTCGGACACCGCGGCGCTGATGCCGATGGGGATGCTGCTGCTATTTTTGCTCTTTGTCCTACCCCGGGCTGTTGGTTTTGGGAGCTGGGCTGTGCCTCGGCGTCCTCTTGTGAGGACGTTTATTTAGCTTGAAAGGGTTTTATGAGGTGAAAAGGCAAAACGCCGAGCACTAAAGAAAATGCTGAGCTCAGAGGCGGCGTTTGTAGGAGCACACCTGCAGGAAACACCGGGTTGGAACACTGCTGCTGTCACCGAAAGCGGAGGAACCGGCAGGGCTTTTGGTGTTTTGTTGGTTTTTTTTTCCCCCCTTCTTCCCTGGTGGGTGGTCAGGAGGATGGGCTGAAAAGCAGGAGGGCTCCTATTGTCTCTGTGCTGCTTTAAGAGCTGACCCCATGCGTCCCTGAAGCTGCTGAGCACCTGGCTGGGCCCTGAGCCCGGGGATGCTGCAGCACCCAGGGAGCACTAGTGCGGTGGCACAGACCCATGTGAGCAAATGGGAACCATGCAGAGGTGCCTGGCCATGTAATCCCTGGAGAAAAGAGCTTTTGTGGCTACTTTATGGCAGTATTTTTATGTCCAAGTGGTATCTTATGGGATACTCTTATTTAATTGTACTTGCATTTCAACCTGTTCTAGTGGAAGGTGGCCCTGCCTGTGGCAGGGGATTTGAACTGGATGAGCTTTAAGGTCCCTTCCAACCCAAACCATTCCATGATTCATAGAATATCTCCAGTTCGAAAGGACCCATAAGGACCATCCAATATGATTGCCATTCTGTAGGCACAGCGCTAAAGGAAAACTGATACTGGTATTCATTTCAGGGTTGACCATTTCACCATCACCTTGAGCCTTGTGCCTGTCAACTATGGAACAACCTCTAAGCCTCTAAAATGGGACCAACCTGCCAAACCCAAGCCCAAGAAGCAGGTTGAGGGAGGGGATTCTGCCCCACTCTGCTCTGGTGAGACCCCACTTGCAGCACTGTGGGGTCCTCAGCATAAAGACATGGAGCTGTTGGAACAAGTCCAGAGGAGGCCACGAGGATGCTCAGGGGCTGCAGCACCTCCTGTATGGAGCCAGGCTGAGAACATTGGGGCTGTTCAGCCTGGAGAAGAGAAGCTGCGTGGAGACCTCAGAGCAGCTTCCAGTGTCTGAAGGGGGCTACAAGGATGCTGGGGAGGGACTCTTCATTAGGGACTGTAGTGACAGGACAAGGGGTGATGGGTTCAGACTGAAACAGGGGAAGTTTAGATTGGAGATAAG